TACCCGACGCTCCCTGCTACTCTTGCATGTCTCTTTCTCTCAATGCTCTTGTACCGCTCGCCTTACTTCTCGCTCTCCCTCTCCTACTTGGATCTATCCCTGAATACACCCACTCCGCTGCAACTCCTGAACTTGCGGCTATGGCCGCCTTCGTCCTTCCAGCTATGGCCGCCTTCGTCCTTCCAGCTAACCCTAACTATGGTGGTCAAGGCGCTATCTTCTTCATCAAGCGCCGGACTCGCCATCCAAGGCGCACTATTGCACAAGCAACCGGCAGCACTTCCGCAACTCATGAATGAACCAGTGAAGTCCGCCGTCACTGTAGCAGCTAAACATAGAGCAATTGACTTGGTGTTGCCTGCTTCGGACCGGTACCGGTCGCCCGCAGTCTGTCGACTGCATGGTTTTTGTTTTCTTTTTTTTTTTAATATTACGACTGCATGTTTGCCTTTCCGAAGTCTCCGGACTTTCTTGTGACGCTGCTGCAAATTTGGATGTTGGGACCGGACTTCCTCTGTCGGGTACCAGTAGACTTACCTCTACTGACCTGCAACGCTTCTGTTCTGGACCCGGCTGGACTACGACCCTTCAGACTACGGACCCTACTGACCACTACGACCCTGGGAATCGACCTACTGGGACTGGGTGGGACCGGGACCATCTGGGACTGGGCCCAACTGGGATTCTGGGACTGGGCCCGGGGCGTTAATGACAAGGCGAGAGCGGCGGTGTGGTGAAAGGGCTCTCCCTGTGGCAGCTATAGAAGCTCGGGATGAGCATGGGGTGTCCAAAGGCTTGGGAGGACGACGGGACGAGGAACAACGAATTGCCGTGAAACTCAGCTGATGGTGGCCGAACAGCATCGTTATGGAAGAAGAACTGTGGAAAGACTATGAGCGCACAGAGAGAGAGCTGTCTCTTATACACATCTAGATGTGTATAAGAGACAGGTATACACACTTTCTTATTCAACCTCGAACCAGCATGGAACTACATACAGTGGCATTGATGGCTGTGCTACTAGAATGAGAGTAAACCGCATTGTTTTTTTTTTCTTTTTTCGATCTTATAAGCCACTGTTGAATTCTAAGAAAAACAGAAAAAGGAGTGGCATTAGAACTCTTCAACTCACCAGAACATCAATGCTGTCCTTAAGGGCCAAAACAGCGCTGAAGTAGCGATGGATATCAGGAAAAACAGGGATCGAACATGTCCCATGCTTCTCTGCAGCCAAAAGAACGGAAAAAGAAAAGGACATCATAACAACAACATTCGTAATACTGTCATTATAGACAACATTGCAGCAAACACGACAGATGAGAGGGGCATAACTGAAATTTCGATATCATGGCCAAAGATTTGATATTACATTATTATTATGGCCTGAAGAGCGTATACGACTCAACCTCAGCTACCAAAAGGCCAAGATCTGATAAACTGATGCGTTGACATTGAACAATCAGGAAGCAAAGCAAGACCAAAGAGACTTATAGGCAATTTAAATTTTAAACACGAAACAGACAAGATATGGGAAACGTCGGTATATATTATCCTAGTTTTGATTGATAGATCAGGCGGTTCACAACGATGGACGTAACTGGTGCAATGAACCTCTCAAGACTGAACTCCAAAGTACACATACATAAGCGCAGAACATACACATGAGAGTTCACATGAAGCCAGAAGATGAAAACCAAATCAGCGCACAAGAGAAACTTCACCCACTTATTATATTATTAATTTAGTATACAATGAGAGAGTTCAAGTAGGCAGCGGCTTTGGACCGCACTCTTTTCACCAATGAGAGAGTTCAAGTAGGCAGCGGCTTTGACCGCGCTCTTTTCACCCCCCCCCCCCCCCCCCCCCCCCCCCCCCCCCCCCCCCCCCCCCCCCCCCTCCCCTCCGGTG